TTATCTGTTATTTGGCTGGAAGACATGGAAGTGAGTTTAATTTCAGGCCCAAAGGGTGACTAGGGACCACAGTCTCAGGGATGTCAATAGTATCTATCACTAAACCTGGTCTTTTGTGTATATGTGTGATTTTGAGTTCTCTTCCATAGTTTTCTCCCACTTTATCCAGGATCTCCTATTTTGATCCCTTTCCGAGTGGTTGACAGTGGTAGCTGGGCACCATCTAGTTCTTCTGTTCTCAGGGTCATGTAGGTTGAGGTTTACATGGTCCACTAGTCCCTTGGACTAATTGTTTCCATGTGTGTTTAACTTTCTTCCTTCTTCTTTGCTCCAGACAAGGTGAGACCAACTGTTGCATCTTGGATGGCCACTCACAAGCTTTCAAGACCCTAGGCGCTACTCACCAGGATGTAGAACAATGTTTTTGTGTAGAATGTTATGCCAATTGAGCTTGATGTCTGAGTCCACCTCTGTGACTCATTCAGAACCCTAAGAGTGATGGTAGTTCCAAAATAGGTAGAGATACTGTCTGTTCTTTCTTTGTTTTCTTAAGTATATGGTAGATGAACCCATGTCTGAGGGAGAAGTCTGGAGTTACCTCATGCCAAACCCTGGCCCTTATGTCCCTCATTATCACCAGGGTCTTTTCGTTTCATACATTTATTTATTCATTCATGCAACTATCTTATCTTTTGTTCAAGACTCCTTGCTAAAGATGATAAAGATCCAGTTGCTGCCCTTCACTGGTTTATTTATGTTCTGTTGAAGAGGGGACAACATAGGCTCTTACATAAGGTTGAAGCTATCAATCCAAAGTTTGGCTAATTAACTCCAGGAGTTGGGAGAAGATAGAACCAGCTCCAGCTCTAGGAATGATGGAGGTAGCACTTGGATATGCTTAACTATGAGACCGAGAAGATAACTCAGGCAGAGACGACCCTGTGTACAGACAGAATGTTAAAATGGCAAGTAATCTAGTCTAGCTGGAAAGGTACATGTAGAAGACTAAAAGGGTCATTGTTGTCAAATCATGGAACAAGTAGACATCCAGAATGAAAAATTCGGATTTGTTGTACCCTCTCCTGTAAGTTATTGGGAGAAGTAAAGGGTTCAGAGAAGTTTGACATGCTGAACATGCTTCATTTCAGCAAAAATAACTTGGCATCACTCTGTAGGATAGATTGAGAGAAGACAGGAATAGAAACCTGTTAGAGAAGAGCTGGGCTTCCTGGTAATCCTTAGTCAAAAGGTCCCTAAAAAACATTCAAGGGAAAGCAAGCACCCGAAGTGCCCCAGCATGCCCCATGTTTTCAGAGTTCTACATCTGGGTAAACTTTTTATAAATTAATAATACACCTGAGATCCTTCACACATTAAGTCATTGATACTGTAATATGGATTAGTAGAGATGACTTTAATGGAAAACATTCTAATATTTAAAGGAAAAGTAAGCCAGGTTTTGTTGACTGTCTGTCAGATCCCCTCTCCCCTGGTTACCCTCCACTCCCTGCCACCCAGGGACAGTGAGAACCTGAGAGTAAGGCAGTCTTGGTTTTTATCTGAAATCTTGGGTATGGATCCAAGCTAGGATATCTGCTGAAGTGCTTGATGTTGTTGTTGTTGTTGTTGTTATGTGCCATCGAGTCAGCCCCGACTCATAGCGACCCCTCCTTGGGTTTCCGAGGCAGTATCACTACGGAAGTA